GCTAATAAAATGAGAAAACAATTTTTAAAAGTGTATCATGAATCTGCACCAAAATATGCTAGATATAAATTCAAATAAAATGGAAAATGCAAATGCAAAGGTGTTTGCTAAGAAGTGTACCAAAAGACATCTGTGTGTCATTTTATTATTCACTAGACATAGTTAAAGTGCCCCACATCAAATAATTCTTCAACACTTAAAGTTCTAAAAATTCCTAGTGAAGTATGTTCTAAAAATTCTTTACCAAAACAAAGAGTGTATATGCTCTTTCTCACTTATTCCCTCTTTATTTTGATTCTCCTCTCCCCAGACTTCCAGCCTCCCCTCCCCCAATCAATTAATCTGTGAAAGGAATGCATTAAATGGCAGCCTGGAGAGCTTCCTTCAAGGAAGAGCTCATTTGAAGAATCATATACCTAAAGGTTAAAATAAAGACAATGTTTTAGAAAAAGACATCTCCAGTAAGCTTCCTTAACAACTTTCTCCAATGTGTCACAAAAAATACCCAATGAAGAAGAGTAAATTCAGAACAGGAATTTGCAATCTATTGTAAAGTCACAGAGGAATTCTCATTAACTACAAATCCACGGAACCATAAGAGGACAACAGAAGTAACATAATGAATGTTTTACTGACTGAAGAAAATCGTCCTTCATGAACAATAAGGAAGGTATGTAATCCTTCTCCAATTTAGCTTGGATTTCTATGTATTTGCCAATGAAAAACTGGGCAACAACCACCCATCTGATTTAGAGGAACTGTGAGTGAAATGGCCAAAGTATTAAATGCTCCCAGTTAGTACAACCAAAATAATAACAAGCAGGGCCAAAAAACCTGCTATATTATTTTTAATTTTAATGATGTAACATATTACATATATGTAATTTTAAAAATTGAATGTCTTATCAGTTTGATAAAAATGGAGATGGGATAGGATGATTCAGGAAAATTAAAAATGTAAAAATGTAATAAAACTTCCAAAGCAGTAGAAGAAACTCAGTGAAAGAAAATTCAGTGAAAAAAAGCAAATCGGCCACACAACAAACAAGTACAGCAACTTTGACTCCTGAGAAATGAAAAGACAGCGGTGTGGCATACAATATGTCAGATTTTTCTTACAATCTCTAATATTTTCAAAAAGAGAAGGGTGAATAGTTCTTATTCATTCACCCCTTTACTCTGAAAAAATTTAGGTGCAATAATGCTGGAAAAGAGGCCAGACATGCAGGTCTCCCGCGCCCGCAGCCTAGCTGAGGAAGTGGAGGCACTGGGAGGTCAAGCAACATGTCCAACCTAGCAGCACAGTGAGTACGCCATCCAGACACTGGGAATACAGAGCGATGCTCTTAGCCTCTGCGAGAGACTGCCTCCAGCACAAGTATTATTGAGTTTCTTTGAAGAAATGAAAACAAATGGAACTGAAGCAATAATCAAAATCATAACTGAAGTAAACTTTCCTGAAATGAAAACAGCAGTTCGGTATATGGATCAAAAGGATTTCCTGTGTTCCAGAGACAATTAATGAAAATAGACTCGAACATGACATAACTTAGCAAACTGAATTACAAGAGTGGTTTATTACTGCTATGGCCACTTCTTGCTGCTATGGATGTTGTCCTTGTTAGTCCAAGCTCTTGTCACTAGTCCATGCTCCAGAGCAGGACAAAAAGAAATTAAGATAAATCTTGAATGTATTTATCCTGAAAGTAGACTAAAAATGTGTGGCAGTAAAATGAAACTATATGGAAACACACAAACAGACACACACACACTCCATTTATATGATAAAACTGAAAACTCAAGCATAGGGAAGCCATAAATAAATGAATAGATAGATAGACAGATAGACAGATAGATGAATGAATAAATAAATAAATAAATAAATAAATAAATAAATAAATAAATAAATAAATAAATAAATAAATAAATAAGTAAAATGAAGACCAGCTGAATAAACAGAGTATATGCTGAGCAACTGCTAGAATTATGAATTTAAAAGTGAACACAAATACCAAATGTTACACTGAAGACTGGGGAGAATCTAGGAATTCTAATATACTAACAAAAGAAAAATCACAGCAGCTACTTAAAGATATATTTGACCTAAATATCTGGAGGTTAACATGTTTATTTTTTATCATCACTAATCACTTTACCATGTTGTTCTATCCTAGCCACTCAATCTTCATAATTCTTACCACTCCATAGTAAGGACTAGCTTTATATTGTCAAACCTACCAATGCTAATAAAATGAGAAAACAATTTTTAAAAGTGTATCATGAATCTGCACCAAAATATGCTAGATATAAATTCAAATAAAATGGAAAATGCAAATGCAAAGGTGTTTGCTAAGAAGTGTACCAAAAGACATCTGTGTGTCATTTTATTATTCACTAGACATAGTTAAAGTGCCCCACATCAAATAATTCTTCAACACTTAAAGTTCTAAAAATTCCTAGTGAAGTATGTTCTAAAAATTCTTTACCAAAACAAAGAGTGTATATGCTCTTTTAACACATTAGCTCAATTAATTTGTTACCAGTGCAGAAGAAATTATTCATCTCTAAGAAAACAAAATGCTCTGTCTTTACAGATGCATGAACAAAAAATATATCTCAACAGTTTGGATAATTCTCAAATTCTTTGCATACTAAATTCTCCATGATCCCTCTTTGACAATCTTATTCATTTCAGAATTTCAGAAAGTACTATAAAATTTGACACTATTTTTTGAAATGCATTGAGTGTGCCAATTACTACTTCAAGACTCTTTGGGCAACATTTGGCTTAGATATATTAAATGCATTTTGTATGTCAAGAGGACTTCATTTTTCTTTTGTTAAGAGAGTAAATGGGTATAAATCTTTTGCACTGAGTATACTGCTTTAAATTTACTCATCCTAATGGCTCATTTACTTTATACCACTTAAAAAATATAAAATTAGATCAGGAAATCTGCTCTACTCAATGATTTTGTAATGATCCTTAAAGCACTTTCTTCTTAAAACTGTTATTTTGGAAAAGTAGCTTAAATACATTGTGCATTAGAATTTCATCATTGCAAACCAACATTAGAAAAGACTTCCATCGACTGAAAAACAAAAAAGACATTCTTATAAGTGGAAAATCAATCACCACAACCACTAAATGTCACAGCTCAACATCAGCAAGAAGCACTGATAATTGTTAGTTATACACTACACAAATGATGTATGTCCTCGGTCAAGGAAGTGGGTGCCAGGTTTTTAGAAAACTGTACATATATTGATTTTACATTTATTTAATGTGGCCATTGTAAGACACTTTATTCTTCTGATAAACTATGATTGCTTATCAAAAGATTCTATAATTCAAGAGAAACATTCATAACTTGTGTGTGAAAATGAAAACTACAGGCCCACAGAAATCATGCCCACAAAATCCAATTTTGTGGATTTATGGTAGAAAGGCATTAAGCTACTGTCTTGCAGGAGCTGCAGACTAGTCACTGAAGTATAAGTGGCATAGCAGTAATGATTAAGGTGACATGTCCCCCTGCCACAGCTGTTAATCAGCTTAATAGTAGTTATATTATTGACATTCTTGTAATTACTTTTCCTAAGGCACATTTGTGAAAAATATATTTTACTTTAATTATGAGCAATAGGAAGCAAGGCCAATACTCGAAAAGAATAGTCGTGGTTCTCCTAATGCAGGTATACAGTAAGCTGAGTGGCTTTCTGAGCACCTGTGGTAAGATGACATCACAAAGAGACATCAAGTGCATACCTTGCCATCCTCTGAACACACACCCATGTGTTCTCCACTTTCATCCAGGCTAATCTGGTTTATCTTCACAGGACTCTATAAAAATAAATAAATAAAACTTTATGAGCATGTTAATGATCACATCTCAGTTCTTTCTAACATTTAAGCAATACAGGTAGTCTATTAATTTAGATGCACGAGTCCAAAGCATTTGCTTTTGCAAATGAAAATAGTATAATGGAGGTTTGTTCTCAGAGAGTAACAAGAATAGAAGCCAACGATTTCCCCCAAATTATCTATTTCATGTAGCTGAAGTCCAGCTAAAATGTTATTTTTCTTACCTATTCTCTGCCTCTTTATTCTACTAATCCATTTTCTGGTTCTTTCCCAACCAAAATCCATTAACAGGACAAAGTAAACAAAAGTAGAAATAAAAATCACGATATATATGTACAAGAATGGTGCTTAGTATGGTTAACCACCTCATATTTTCTTACCTTATAGTTTATGCTTAGTACTTTCTAAGGGGAACCCACAAGGTCTACTAGATATTAACTAATTCTATTATCCCCCCCAATGTTTTGAAAGATCTCAAATTTAAAGATGGGTGAAGACAAAAGTCAGGTTTTCCAATTTTGTGTTTTCTAAAGGGTAAAGGTAGAAGTCAAAATCAGTAAATAATGACATTAAAAATTGGTAATGAGGGCCCTCCCTGGTGGCACAATGGGTTAAAGCGCAGCACAGCAAACAAGCCACAGCCATTTCAGTGCTAGTTGATCCCCAGGCTGGAGGTGGTCTACATGTGCAGCAGACCTCTCCTGACCCACCCACTGCTCCCCGTAGCAGTGCACTTCGTGGATCTTCCTGTTCTGCTCCCCACTCTGTCTCTGGTGAAGGCTCTCACCACCCTTGCCCCTCTGGCCTGCACCCAGTTCTGTATGCATAAATAAATACATCTTAAAAAAAATAGTAATGTCTTCTTTTATTTATTCTTAAGTAAGAATGGTGTCCAACTGTCATAAACAAAACACGACAGGAACAAGCTAGCTATGAAAAGTAACGCTCCATTAATTGCTTGCAAAGTTTTGAAAACAATAGCTGACTTTGTGTGTGTGTGTGTGTGAGGTAACACCTGTTTACAACATTGTATTTGATTCAGACTTATAGGATAACACCATTCTGCTACCATGCCACACTCAGCATGAAGCAACACCTAGGTTTCCAACAGTCTATCTCCCTCCCTACTTTGATCACTTCCATTTCCCTCTAGTAGTATCAACAGGATAGTCAGATTTCTGGTGTTTGCTATTTGCTGGCTTTTATGTGCCCCTTTGTTTTGTTTCTCTATATTCACATATAAGCGATACCACCAAGTATTTCTCTCCTTCTGACTTACCTCATTTATCATAGTTCCCTCCATAATCCTTTGGCTTGTTGATACACAACAAGTACACAAAACTAAACATTGGATTATTCCTCAATGGAAATTAACTCAGAGTTAGGTAAGCAAGAGTTAGGGGCAGACCAAAATTCCGTGGCTTCAGAATGGCTCCCACAACCTTGAAGCTGCTAAGAAAAATTCCTGTGATGTGTGTTGATTGGCTACAATCTTTCTCGTTATTCTTAAAGATTTCATTTCATTTAAGCATACAAAACTGGGGTACGAGCCAGAGGTGCAGGGGTAGTGAGAGGATTCTCCAGAGACACAGGCAGTATTGTAACTGGGTGGTCCCTAGGAAAAGGGGAAGTTGCACCTTCCAGAAGGAGGGTGGAGTTGAGAGAAAAAGGATAGAAGGAATCTAAAGAGAAGGAAGGAAGCAGGATGGAGACCCAGGAGACCTGAAGAAGCCACATGGAGCAACAAGCATGTGATGAAGAAACCAGGCTTGTTTCTTGGCCCTGGACTGGTTGAAAGACATGTGGGTGAGACCTGTGGGGAGGCTGACTATGGCAGTGTTTATATTAATTTTGCTTTTGCTCTTTTCCTCCCAGACTTGTCTGGCCATTTTTGACCTTTTTCTATGGGTCCCAGCCAGAAGGTGCTTTAGGCTTGTAGCGTGCTTTCAGGCCTTGTGTTAGACCAATCCCTTTTGGGTTGACTTTTGCCCACGAGGGGATGGGTAACTTTAGGTGTTTGATTTAGAAATCAGTGGGTATTGTATACCCACTGCATTAAAGTTCATTTTTATGTGTTGTCTTGATGTGGTGGATGGCAGAATCTATTTAGAGCAGGCAGGTTTGGGAGCTCAGGGGTGCCCTTCTCTCCCTGCCCTGTAACAGATTTGGCACCTCTCTCCCTAAATACACATATTTATTTACTTATTTATTTTTTAATAGATTCTTTAGGGTTTCTGTGTTGTTTCTTTTCTTTTTCTTTTTTTTTAAAGATTTATTTATTTATTTGTGCATACAGAACTGGGGTACAGGCCAGAGGCTCAGGGGCGGTGAGAGGCTTCACCAGAGACAGAGTGGGGAGCAGAACAGGCAGATCTACGGAGTACACTGCTGAGGGGAGCAGCGGGCGGGTCAGGAGAGGTCTGGCTCGCCATGTGGTCTCCTCCGGGGCAGGCGGCAGGCGGGAATCGAACTCATGCGGAAGTGGCTTCAGATTCTCAGTGCTGTGCTTTAACCCGCTGCGCCACGAGGGAGGGCCTACACATATTTATTTTTATGGGAAAATAACTTTAGATACATTTAAATATTTCCCTGGATATTTTATCTTGAATGTTTGTGCCTTGTGTTTTACTACCGAAAGATGTTTGGTAATAGACAACACAACATACAGTTCATTCCAGAATGTACATCATGGCATTTTTCATCAGTCATTCAGGACTGGTTTTCTCAGTTTAGAACAGATTTTATCCCCAGCTGTACATAATTTGGGCATTTCTTCAGATACCAGGATCTAGAATATCATCCAATTGAAAAGATCTATTAAGATGCTTGCAGGCAGAGAAGCAAGTTAAATAAAAAGCCAGTTTTCCAAGAGGCTGTGTTTGCTGGGTTTTGTCCTGGACTTTTATGGTACTTCTCACACATTTATCAAATTTTATTTTCATAGTTGGGCTTCCTCATCTCCTCAGGAAAAATGCTTTTTACCAAAGAGCATTTTAATACTCTTTTTCTCTTGGCAAATATAACCCCCATATACCTCCCACTGTATTTTAATTAGCATTAGTTCATTGGTTATAATTTATATCAAAATATAATTTAATAAGTGTTTTAATAGGTGTACATAGTCTCATCAAGAACAGTTTCCTGACTGTCCAATAATGGTGCCATCCATTACTACTTACATAGGAAGTTAAATTAAAATAAAACACAAAGGTGCCTTTCTTTTTCTAATGAACCTGTCCTTTCAATATAAAGTACAAAATCCAGTTCCTCAGTTGCACTAGCACATGCTAAGTGCTCAGTGGCCACATGTGATCAGCAGCTTCCACAATAAAAGGCCAAAGATTCCAGATTTTCACCACTGCAGGAAGCCTCTAACACTGAACTCCGACACTGAATGTAATTCTCCTGCACAGAACCTTTCTTTACTATCACTTACATTCGGAAGTACATTTTTGTCACATACATATAAAGCTTTATGTAATTTGTTCTTGAGACCCTGGTATTATAAAGCTAAATGTGTCCAGTGCGAAATGTGTCTCAATCACACTGAAGATGGAAAGACCTGGCCTCCACACAATGTGTTCACAACTGCAGGTGAAGCAGTCAAGGAAAGGTGGTTATTGCCACTGCACCATAGAGAAGCGAGTCCTGAAGAGTTCATGTGAGCCGACAGGAGCCACAGCACTACTATGTGGTTAGGCCACCATGCAAGCACAAATAAACCAAATTTCATTACAACATATTTCTTACTGAGTAAAAACTATTTGTGCTGCCACATTATTAATATGGGAGGTAAAGGGGAAGGTTGGGAGAAGCTGGGGTGGGGTGAGGAACACGACATACACTCAAGGTATAGAATCCTCCTTCCCTTGTATCTCTGTTAGAAATAAAAGTGCTTGAACTATTTTCCTGCCAGTGATCAATTCATTGATTTATTTGCCTAACTACTAATAAGCTTAAGCATTTTTCTTAAGTTTGTTAGCCAATTAATTTGCTCTTCTGTAAACCGCCCATTCACATCTCTTACTCATGTTTTGTATTTTTTTTTTTGTCTTTCTCAATTTCCTGTATTATTTAGTTTTTGAAGTATGAAATCTTGGTTCAATACCCCATCTAGACATTAAACTGGGTTAATGTGATCTCCTGTATTTCTTTTGCAAGGTGGTTAGTGCATTATTTCTTAGATTTACATCTTTAATACTTTCAGAGTTCATTTATTTTCTTCCACAAGGATTTTAGTTGGGGAAGCCCCATTTATTAAGTAACCCATCCTTCTCCTGAGAACTGTGTTTATCATATAATAAATATTTACATGCACTGAGATAATCTAGCTTTCAACTATATTCTCTTTGTCCATCACTGTATCATTTGAACATTAATTCAATTACAGAGGGTGTATAGAGTACATTTTGAAATGTGGTTAGGCAAGTCTCAGTCATAATTCTTTGCTATCCTTGTGTTTTTCTATTATTTATTCTTCTGAGTGAATTTTCAGATAAAATAATCTCATGTTACTGAACATAATAGGTACTGAACAATACTAATTCACTCTACCTACCAGAAACATATAACATCGTCCATAACTCTTTCCTTCTAAGATACCACCTGTCTAGCATGTCTTTTCAATTTAAAAAGAAAATAAATTCCCTCTCAGTCTCTTTAGTGGGGTGGCTTTAGCTTCTGAGGTCTGTAACCTGGGCCAGTCCTTGTACCCTTCCCCTTTACATCTACACTTGCCCCTTGGGGATTTCTCCCAGGCTGCAGAATGGCTTCTAAATTTCTTTCTTCAAATTGGATTGCTCCATGTTTCAGATTAATATCTCGAACTGTCTGTTATGTAATTATTTGGATGCCTAACAGGACCTCAACCAAAATATATGCAAGCACAGAGCCTACATCCCCTCCTAAAAGGTTCTTCCTGATGGCTTCCTAATTTCAGCCGCCAGCAGAAAACACAGGAGCTATTTTTGACTCCTGAC